AGAGAGAGAGAGAGAGAAGAAGAAGAAGAAGAAGAAGAAGAAGAAGAAGAAGAAGAAGAAGAAGAAGAAGAAGAAGAAGAAGAAGAAGAAGAAGAAGAAGAAGAAGAAGAAGAAGAAGAAGAAGAAGAAGAAGAAGAAGAAGAAGAAGAAGAAGAAGAAGAAGAAGAAGAAGAAGAAGAACCAATGTGACAAGATACAACCAAATATAAACTCTAAATAATTAAATTATTTACAAAAGCAAATCTTCTTGGATAAAAAACGAATCATTCAGAACATAGGAAATCCAAATCCCTTGCATTGAATAAAGAATATAAACAGAAGCGATCTGATGGTTCATCTTCACAATCACCAATTTTTCGTTCATTTCCCAAATATAGTTAGCAGAGAGATTTTCTGCAATATTTTTGGTTTATCTGCTGTATTCGTTAACATTTTAAACAAACGGCAGTAATGATGGAAAGTGGACCCATGCAGTTTTATGAGGAAATCGAACCCTTTTGTCGATGGAGGAGAACGGAAGACATCGACATTCTTGAGGTACATCTTCCTCCAGGTACATTATTACTAGAAATTTATTAAACACATAAAATTAAAAAATATGTCTTAGGTTATATTTTTTGTCTTCAAAGTGTACAATATATTAGTATTACAATGATACATTCTGATTTTTTTTGTTTGTATGTTTAAATATATATAAACTACTAAAATATGTATTTTCTAACTCTCTAACAAAAGCAAAGAATCTCTTTGATGATCGCACGTATAAAACACGTGAATATGTAACTCTTCAGATAGCATCAGTAAATTGTTAAACTGTATTTCATTGCTAGAATGTTAGGAGCATGATATTTTATTAATTTATCATCAAATTAATTTATTTTGTTTTCTCTATTCTTCTTAAATTTTCGTTTAAATATTTTAATGAAGAATGTAAACAGATATACTTGATTTAAATTTAATGTTTTTTTAAAGAAAATGTGACACGTGTCATCTCTATATGGATCAAAAATGATGATGTGTCACTCATTTAGAGAGAGTTGACATTCTTTTATATATAAGATTGTTCATATAAAAATATACATGTTCATTAATACAAAATTTATAGAAATGTAAAATGCTATTCTCCTTAATTTTAGTAAAATGCTATTCTCCTTAATTTTAATGATGCAATTGAAGACTTGACCAACATATATTTGAAAACAGTAATACGTTAGAAAATCAACTATTATATCTAAAAAACTTCACAAATTTTGAATGCAGATAAAAAAATAACATTAAAAGATAATAATGTAAATAAGTAAAACTATGAGTTTTAACTTTCAATAAAAATTTTAGTATTTATCTTACCTATATATACAAAAATGTATTTAATTATCAATTTATGCTTTTGTTGGGACCATATATTTTTATAAGAATTTCAAAAAAAATTATTATCTTATTATCTTATCGAATTTGATAGATTTTAAAATTGGTTAGAAACAGAAAATTTATTATTTTATGATGATTATTAATTGATCAATATTAATTTATAAGGTGATACTGTTTATCTTCAACTAAAATATACCACAACACTAGATTACTGTGTCTTTTTTTCCTTCTTTTTTGGGAAGAAACACTAGAGTAATGTTATGTACTAAAGTTTAGTAAACATCATACCATTTTCTCTTTGAATAATGGGTTTGCCGTTTGTATAGGTTTAAAGAAAGAGCATCTTAAAATACAGATCAACAACAATGGTATACTAACAATAACAGGGGGCTATCCTGTGGACCAAACCAATTCAATCAAGTTCAGGAAAGAAACAAAAGTTACAAAAAATTGCAGAAGAAATGAAATTCGTGCAAAGATATCAAAGGGTGTTTTGTATGTGACAATGCCAAAGACAAGCCCTATAGACGCGGCTCCCTCAAAGGCTTCTAAGGGAGACACATTAGAAATTCCAGACCATAAAGTGGATGATCATATAGGTATTATAGCAGAGTGTGCAAGTCGATTTCATAGCCATTTTTACTCATTGAGGAAAAGACTATGGAGGAAGACAGTCGTTGAGGGTGTCGCAGCTGTGGTATTTGTGGGTGCTGCAGTTGTTGGGGTGGTTAAAGCTTACCAATATTTTATGGCTTCACCTGTTTAATTATGTTTCAATGAGACTACGTTGTTTCCTGCGGGTATACCGAAATCAAAAATTTCTACTCTTTCAGTATAGAGAAGCTATACTTCTTTAAATTTGTTATATTAATTAAAGCTGCCAAATGTTAATATTTTTATAATTCAAAATCGTAATTGAAATATTATCATTGAAAATGAGAATTCAGTTTAGCAAAATATATAATCTGTGATGCGGATATTGAACCGGACGATGACTGATGACGTCATCCACCCAACCAGCTATGATGGAGACCTTGGCCAAACATGTGTGCCTTTAGGTATTATAGCAGAGTGTGAAAGTCGATTTTATAGCAAGTTTTACTCATTGAGTGAAAGACTATGGAGGAAGACAGTTGTTGAGGGTGTCGCATCTGTGGTGGTTGTGGGTGCTGCAGTTGTTGGGGCGGTTAAAGCAGGATAACTTGACCGAGCCACATTGCCTTTTTCCCAGTCCAAAGAAGTAGCGGTCCTTGCGAAAATCTACATCCCACCTGATAAGGCATATTGGTCAGCAATGATGGGTTTTACTCCAAAACCACGTCGGCCTGATCCAATGACAATTTGATCCACTTACTGGACCTCTTGTTGAGTCCATGAGCTGAAGACCCAACCTGAATCAACCCGGATCCACCCCTAACCTCCAATCTTCTCTCGCGGGTCCATATGAGTCTATATAAGGAAAGGTCGAGTTGTGTTCACACCAGCGACCCAATTACATGTGTTCTGGAGTCTACTGAAGCTACTAAAGGTTAGAGCCACCATATGAAAAGAGAACATACCTAAGATAAGAGTTGTGTCATTTTGACAACGTGTGTTATAAGCAACTTGCTTTATTCAATGCATGCATTTCATTAAGGCAAAACGACTATTACTTGATTGTCTATAATGATCTAGAGATTCTAGACCCTTCAATCCCATCAGAAGATCGCAGACATCCATAGCCACAAGAAGACCTAATGACAAACACTCTTGTCTCAGCTGCAACTCGTGAAACTCCTCCTTTAACGCCTAACAGCTAATTCGTGAGAAGATCACGTCTCCTCTGATTTTTATTCAGTTTTATTCTTTGTGTTAATGTTTTATGATCGTAAGGTCTGGTCTTGTATTTCACTATATAAGCACGCATTTAATTTAAATTTTTGGTCTTATTCATAACGATTTCAGTTTTTTCTTATTCTTTTAATCTTTTCTGAGTTTGGATAGGAATTTGCATTAGATCATATGAATCCTGCATGTTTTGGAGTTTAATTAGGTATTTTGGAGACATAGCCACTTCTCATTGGAGTAGGAGCAAGGAGAGACCTGAAATGAAGTAGAAAAGCCGGCGGCCAGGGGTCCATACTGGTATTTAAACCGGTGTCAATCCTGGTGTTGAGTCCGAGTCAAATAACTTGAAAGATCAATCCGGATGAAGGATTTACACTCAGATTCAGCCTCAAAGTTATTCGTAGAATTTGTAGCTTCTTGAGTTATACTTCATCAAGAGGTGGTTTGAAGTCATTCTGATCAGTTTTTGAGGAGATACAGCAGATTTGGCAAGACATGTCTGCTCGGTGATAACACCGGATTTTGACCATTTTTATGGATCATTTTAATATCTTTTACAGGTGTTTTTACTCCGTTTTCAAAGGTTTTCAAAGGATTTCTATGTTTCCGGACTTTAAAAGACTTTTCAGGTAATTTGGGATAAAGAGGCACAAAATGGAACAAAAAGACTCTTTTGGATAAAGGCAGACTGTCAGAACTCTCATGGAGAGACGAAGATCTTCTGACCGTCTGATCACCCTCTAAATTGGACAACTTATAGAAGAATCAACCAGCTTTCAAATGCACTTGGTTTGGAGACATTCCAACGGTTGGATCTCAAGATATTCCATTAGCCCCGAAGCCACGTGGAATCGGCCAGCAACTCACGCGACCGCGGCCAACAAGCTATTTGCCGCGGTCAGAAGCTTCCCGACCGCGGCCAACAAGCCAATTGCCGCGGTCACAACACTCCCGACCGCGGCATTCAAGCTCCGACTTAAAGCCCACTTATCTGAAGCCCAAAGTCATTCCCAGCCTCAATTCTAGAACCCTAGAGACCATGGAGTATTGGAGACTATAAATACATGTCATTTAGGTCGTTTTTAGAGAGAGCTTTTCATAATTTACAGAAACACTTTTCTTTTAGCCGTTTTTATGAGATTTTTGTAGAAGATTGTTCAAGTCCGAGTTCTTCAATAGAGAAGCTTTCTTTATCTCTTTTCTTTACTGTTTTTCATTACTTTTAATAAAACCAATGATAATGTCGAGCTCAGCCATGTCTGAGTAGATCTCGAGTTGGGCTTAGGGTTCCCGAAAGGGGCTCTCATAATCGATTAAGACATCTAGGTTTATAGATCTGGGATTTCGACCTGTTCTCTGTTTATTCTTGTTCTTATTGCATGTATGCTTGATTGATCACCTAGTATCTGATCTAGATAGTTAGTGTTGCGAAAGTTTTCATTAAGTATCAGCCCTAGAATGAAACAGGCGATTTTTCCGTAGGAGTGGAAACGTACCTGCGGCGAGATCGTGAGTATTGACGAGTCTTGTGCAGCTCTTGCGTTCTCTCCCTTCCAGGGCCAGAGTGGAAACCTACTGGTCAGGGTTGCGAGAAACAGTTGGTTATGATCACGACAGTGACGTAGTCATACCGTCGTACTCTAGCTCTAGAACCCATATATTTTTATCCATCAATCCCAATCTATCTACCTTAGTGTTAAAACCGATTATGATCCCCTAGAGTTCCCAAAAGCTCAGCGTTTTTAGCCATAGTTTACAATTCCATCGATTTTTACTTGCTTTCTTAGACCTGCATTTCAATTTCCTTAGTTCATTATTTACTTGCTTTATTTACTTTTCATGCGATATTTTACTTGCCTTATTTTTGTTTAGTTCGATATTTTACTTATTCCCTCTGCATTTTATTCGATTTTCTTTACTTGCTTTTTAGGGTAGATTCATTTGCTTTCTTTTGTTTTAGTTTAATTCGCAAGAAAAACAACCAAATCCTTAAAACCAATTTAGTCTAGACATAAAGTTAAAAACCGTAGAAGAATACCAAGCACACAAATCTCTGTGGATTCGATCCCTAAATACTACAACTGTTAGCTGTGCACTTGCGGCTTTCATTTGTTTTGTTAAGGGTAAAACTTGTTCCCTCACGTAGCGAGCACGCATCAAGTTTTTGGCGCCGTTGCCGGGGATTTGTTTCGCTGCCTTTTGCTATTTTTCTTGTTTTAACTTCTGTTCTAGACACCTGATCTCTAGTTCTTTCTTAAAGTTTTCCTGAACTATCTTTCCCTTCTTTTGCCTTTCTCTGAAATGCATGAATACCAGGCGTAGACCTGCAGGAGACATTCCAATTCTAGACGAGATAGACAGACACGAAAGAGAACTTCGAAGACTTAGACGAACGCAAGGAATGGCCAATGACGATCAGCCTGGAGATCCTATTAATCGAAATTTAAATATGGACCGAGAAGGGTCCGAACATGGAGAAAACGAAGAGAATGATCACATAGAAGGTGATCATGCTCGACAAGATGGAGAGGAGGACGAGGTTCTTCCAAGAAACCACCAGAACCGAGAGAGAGAAGGACGTGAAGACCTTGATCCACCCATCAATGTAGCCGATGGTGACCACCCAGCAATGCAGCCGAATGAACGCGTTCACCGCCCCATTCCGCCAGCAAATCAACACCGAAGACAAGCCCGGAACCATCGCATAGCTGACTTTGATGCACCTACTCAAAATTTTCAGAATCGATCTGCGATTCAAGTACCATTTCCAAACCGGAATGAGTTTGAAGTCAAGCCTCAAATCATCTCACTAGTGAAGCAAAACCAGTTCCATGGAGTTCCTTCTGAGCACCCAATGGACCATATCGAGCTTTTTGAAGAAATTTGCAGCAAGATGAGAACAAACCAAGTTCCACCTGACTATTTAAAGTGTAAGTTGTTCCCTTTTTCATTAGCAGATAGAGCTAACCGTTGGTTGAAGTCTTTGCCTGCAGGATCGATTACTAATTGGGAAGAATGTAGAAATGCTTTCTTGAACCACTTCTACACTAAGTCAAGGTCGAACAATCTGATAACGAAGATCTCAACCTTTCAACAAGGGCCAACTGAATCTTTCTATAAAGCTTGGGAACGTTTCAAGGAGTATGAACGTGATTGCCCTCACCATGGATTTCATGGATCAAGCCTGCTGAGCACATTTTACCGAGGTTTGCAACCAAAATACAAACTTTCACTTGATACAGCTAGCAATGGAGATTTTGGGCAAAAGACGATAACCCAAGGAAGAGCCCTCATCGAAAATTTGGCTCAAGCCAATAGCAATGATTGTCCTGAATATGATCGATCGATGAAGCAAGCCGGAACAGACAACAAGGAGATAACTGAGTTGAAGAACATGGTGAGCCAGCTTCTGAGGAGCAACAATCGCCCGATCCATGCTTGTGAAACCAACAATGGCGCAGAAGATGAAGGACCTAGTGATATCGATCACATTAATCAAGCATTTCAAGAAGAAGGTGTGAACTACGTAGGAGCACTGGTGCCATACCAAAATCGCTCCAACAACAACTTCAACAACAACTTCCGGAATGCAAATTACAACAATCTCTCTTACCGCAATCCAAATGTGGAGAATCGTCAAGATCAGTACTACCCACCTCAGCAAAAATCCTTCCAAAACAAGTTTCAAGGTGGAAACTTTGGAGGAATAATACCATATCAACCGCGACAGCCATATAACTACCAAAGTACGGGTTTTAACAATCAATTCGTACAACAGCAGGGAGTAACGACGAACCAGCTAGCTTCACAAATCGGTAGACTTGAACAGTCAATCCAACAGCTCGTTATGACGAACGAAAAAGCATCTAAAGACGGGAACGTGAAAGTCGACTGCATGTACAATGATCTGAATGGTAAGTTTGAATCTTTATCTTCGCA